TCAACTTTCTATAACGAAAGAATAATGCCAAAGAATTTAATATCACAGAATTATTTGCGTTTACTGTGTTACCTTTGTCTCGTTTCGGGCTTATACTCTTAGACAAATTTTCATTTGTGCTCAATAACTCTAAATATGTTAGGTTCTTTAATTGGTTGGACCTAACTCTGTTCATCTTCTCTTTTCATCATTGTTATTCTTTACAGCTTTGTATTTTATTTTGTTTTTGTTGATAGAATTATTTTTCCTATTTAATTTTATTCGTTAACTTTGTTAGAGGGACTGAAGATCACTTGTCTTGCCTTTAATTTAAATTTTATTCGATTTTGATCTTGCCTTTTTACCTTATTTGCTTTCGTTACTCGCAGGTGTAATAAGTAGGTTTTCGAGGCTATCATTTGATCTTGATTAATAACTCTAGTATGCCAAACCCCTTATTGCCAACACTTTCCCTCGATTTTTATGATCTGATTTAGTTTATCTCCATTATTATTATATAACATCATCACTATCATGGACTGTCATATCACTGCAAACACCACCAAACCTACCATCCATATAATCAAAACAATCCATAAAAGTTGGAGCAGGAACATAGCGCTCAGACCCAGCTAGAGGCAGAACTGACTCGACTCTCTGATCAACTGCAGCGCCTCAACCATGAGGCTAACCAACTCGAGTCGTCCGACCTTCCGGCCGCACAGCTGGAAGTAAAAAACGCCGAAATTGAGAGACAGCATGTAATAGCAAACAAAGAGGTCGCCATCGAGGCCGTACAAACTAAAGTGAGCAATGCCCTTTCCTATGTTTTTTTTACCTTCTTATTTCGATGACTTATCCTTTCAAAGCGTCCTTAATGCTATTTTAAAGATTCATTAAAATATGTTTCTCTACAGCATTGTTTACTTCGATATTGTATTACAAATTAATTACAATTTTGAATAGCCCTAAAGTTTTTGTTGTTTTATCCTTTATTCACTTCCTTGTTTATTTATCTAGTTATTTACTTAGTCACCAATACTGGACGGTTTTAAAACCTTTTCTTCGTTTACCTTACTTTCTGCCAATTACCTAAGATGCATAGATCAAATCAATTTTGTGAACTAAAAATATTTACAGCCAAACCGCAAAAAACCCACCTCTGAGCATAGTTTACGTGTGCTTCGGTTATAAATCAGCTTTCGATATTACTAGTAAGTTATTTATATATAAAGTGTATTCACCCTATTTTGTTTAAGATGATAAAGTAATTGGTATTTGAATTTTTCCCACAATGATATGAGTATACCTTACATTTTCATTGAATTTCACATAGCCCTGCTATCCCAAATGGTATTCTTTTCCATTCATATCTGTCCTGTGACCCAAAAGCACTCGTGGCAACGTGACGTAGTGGTTATACTGTCTATATTATACCCTAATCTGTCATTATTTGAGTCCTGCTGGGGGTGTTGGTAAGACCTAGGTGATGTCGAAACTGCAGTCCATCCGGGATGAGAACACCTTTTGGGAAAGCAAGGCTATGTGAACTTCAATGAAAACGTTAGTTCTACCCATATTGTTGTGGGAAAATTCAATAACCTTTCCTGCATAAACTAAAGCGAAATAGGGCGAACTAATTCTTTGACGCGGTAAAGGCCAGAATAAATGAATAACGGGATTAGGAATAGGTATTATGCAACACCATAGAATGTGGTTAAGCCAATAGCAGATTTTATTTTCATTTTGTTCTCTAGATTCTTAGTGATACGTTTTTCTTGAAACTTTTGTGATAAAGCTTCAGTATTATATAAATAGCTGGAATTATAATTTTTAGTAGCTTTGCCAAATTTTTACACATCTATTTATTCATCTCTGACCTTTTTATTTAGGTGGACGACCTTCGAAATCGTCTTCGTCGTGTTCAAGAGGCATGTGCTGGGGCCTCGCGACTATTTTGCTCTCTAGGTTTATCGAACAATATGCAAGGTCAGCAAGAGCTGATCAGAAGAGCCTCTGAGGCCTCTCAGCAACTTACCAAATTAGTCGAACAGGCAGAGACTTTGCGTGGATCCTTTGATAAACTTCAGCCTAAGTTAGAGGACGCTCGTCAAGAAGTTGCCAATCACAAAGTGAATATTACTTTTTACTACGATTATGCTGTTTGGCTACTTGTATGTATCTAATATCTATACTTTTTGACCGAATCAGGCTTATAATCCATTTTATCTAAAGCTATGCCGTTAGTATAACGCGACAATCACAAGTTCAATTTATCTATCACATTCTTCCCTCCTTGATAAACTTAATTCTAAAAGATCCGATTATTTGAAACGTGGAATTTAGGGCTCAATTAGACCGAATTTATTTATTATTTTGTTATATATATATATATATATATATATACATATATATGAGAAACTAAGAATTCTTTGAAAGTTATTTTATTTTCTGGAATCAGCCCTTTCATGAATATAACTTTCAAGTTTATTCGCTGTTTTTGCAATTAATTTTCTGGGAACCTAGCCAGATGAAACCGTCGATTTTTACTAAACCACTTTTATTTAAAGACCTAAGTATTAAAATCATTTAATTGAAGTGGTCTGACCGCGTTTTCACAACTTGGTCGTGTTGTCAGGGTGAATTAATTTGACTCATCTTGTCCGAAGTCCTCTGCTACAGTAGTTATCATCATTCCTATTGTCGGACCGTAGACTTGGTACATTGCCAGACGCTTCGCCGGTAATGTAGCCATCGTCAGTCTTGCCATTCTCATTACCAAATTACAACTCGTCAAAGAGACAAGTGAAGTTTACCCCTTTACAAAAGTTCTGCCGAAACGGTTGTGCTATCATTCCTCTTTCTTACCTGGCCCATTTATATATTCCCTACCTTCTTATCTCACTCCTGCCATATCACAACTTCTGACTTGTTTATATTTAAATCTTCAAGAGGTGTGCCTCTTTTGACGAGTTTTATGTGGCGTCATCACATCTGCTGTTTGCTTTATCCCCCCCTTCTCTCTCCATTCTCTGATCTGACTCGGGCCTCCTATCTGGGTCTCCCTCATGGGACCGTTGCTCCGTTTGTTATCTTTCTGGTTGACTGTTTGTATTCGATTCCAGTCCTAGTATACGTTTTACTTCAGGCGCAATTTCTCAAGCTTTTGGATGCTGCACTTAGCAAAGCGTCTAGGCTCTAATTCCTATGCTTGCAGATATTAGGCATTTTCTTCATGGGTGATCTCCTTGGTGAAACTAGTGTATCCTGGACGTCTATCTCTGTTCGCTTGCTGCCCATCGAATGGATTTCTAATCAATTTGTCTATAATGCCGAATTTCTGTGACGGTTGTGATCATCGGTCTCGCTATTCCTGTGACCGACAGGCCCCTAAAATTGTATTTGTTTTTTTCGAACAGATTACATTCATTCAAAACGTCTTTGCTTGGTGCAGAGAATAGCAAGACTCACTGAAGATGCTGAATATGATGCCGACGAAACGTCTGGGAATGTTTCAGGTCCACAGTCCGATGCTGGGAATAAAGATAATTACTATAGCAAAGAACTTCAGACAAGGTACGTTCGATTAAGTTGCTCTAGCAACACGACTAAGTTGCGAAAACGCGATCAGATCACTTAGATACTTTGAAAGGAGACTGCGACTAAAATAGGGATCACAACATCCTGGTCTTCATATCTACTCCAAAGTTGTTGCTGTTTTTTAGGACAAACTACACTCATTGAGAGCGTCTCCGTTTAACTTAGTATCTTCCTTATCTGCTTCTTAGGATCCATTTTATTCCGGTTAACGCGAGGCTCTTGATCCAGGCGTCTCCTCTTGTCGTATCTTTGTTTTCTCTAAGCTTGCTCAGGCTCTCTGCCTTCTTTCGATCTGCTATTCATTAAATTTTCCCTTAAGAATGTCAATGGTCTCCCCAACCCCCCGTTTTCTTGTGTTCTTACCGCATTGGGTCCTTTTTTCTGATGCCTTCCAGTTGATCTCGTGTCCGATCTGTGCGATGTGTTCTGCTATTTCGGCTCTTTCGGTACCCATTTTCCTGCGGAGCCTTTGAGGTTCCTTGAGTCTTATGCTGATTTCTCTCATTGCTTCGCCAATTCACTGCAAATAGGCCCTGCTTTTACTGGAATATAGAATTTCTTTTACTGCATAATATTATAATCAATTTAGACACCACAAATATGTTTTATTCTCGATTACTCTTCATCATAGATATAAATTGAGTGAGACTTGTTTTATCTGAAATTCTCCACTTTTATTTATCTCTAATACACCATGACAATTTACTTTTTCCTCAACCTTTGTCTCACATCGCTAAGTATAGCAATTTAGTTCTGTTATAAGATCGGAAATAAGCTGAAGGACTATGAAAAGAAGCTGGGTTTCGAAAAATCCTTTAGTACAGTGATTCCCAGATATATTCACCCTATTTCGTTTAAGGTGATGAAGGACTGATGTTAGAATTTTTCCACATTGATATAAATAGGACTGACGTTTCCATTAAATTTCGCATAGCCTTGCTTTCCTAAACGTTGTTCTCATCCATGGTGGACTGTAGTTTCGACCTCGCCTAGGTCTTATCAACTGTGACAGTGCTGCATGTGAGCCTGACACGTTAACCACTCGGCCACATTGCCACGAGTCCCCTTTAAGCCACAGGGCATGTGTTTTTCAAGAAAGGCCAGACCTTTTCTCATATCACATTCCTTGGTGGGGTTGCC